CCAGGTCAGTACAGGCCAGGCCAGTGCGATCCAGGCCAGTTCGATCCAGGTCAGTACAGGCCAGGCCAGTGCGATCCAGCCCAGTGAGGTCCAGGCCAGTACAGGCCAGGCCAGTGTGGTCCAGGCCCTATGACGGCCTTTGGTCTGTTCTGTTTTAATTTCTTAGCCCCCTCAGTGCAGAAGCACCCCCTCCTATTATAAATAGACCCCAGCTATTTTCTACCCCCGCCCAACACACATATTCCTGAGTGAGATGTCAGGGAAAGATGGAACGCAATGCCTGCTCTTAAAATGCAAGAAATGCAGGAAGATCCTGCTGCCAGCATCCCGCCTCCCGTCAGGAACACTTGGCGGCACCGGCTTCGCGGCGCCTCCTCTGGCAGGATGCTGACCGACGGCCGGCTTCTTTGTGCCCGTCCGCCTGTCCCAGCCAAACCATCAGCCTCTCTCCCGGCCAACATTTGTGCACCAAAACAGAAACCATCGTTTACCATCTAATTACTCGAAGGCGTTTCCTATCCGAAAAGGCACACGGCCTTTCATTACAGTTACTGCTGATGCTTTTATCCAAACCAACACATTTTTGAGAATGCGGGATCAGCCAGTTCCGGACGCAATCGGGGGTTAAGGGCCTAGCTTGCTTTGCTGACCCTGGGATTTGAACCAACGACCTACCGACCACAGGCGACAGCCCTAATCCACAGAGTCGCACACCACTGCTTTTGTTAATCGGGCAAAGCCTAACTGCTTTGCCTGTGTTGACCTGTGTTGGTCACGAAGCCACTTAAGGCAGCACATGTCTTCTGCTCGCTTTCAGGCTGCTTATTTGCGTGCTATAGGCCCACAGCTGCTGTGCGCTAAATCACAGCTGCTGTACGCTAAATCACAGCTGCTGTACGCTAAATCACAGCTGCAGTACGCTAAATCACAGCTGCAGTACGCTAAATCACAGCTGCAGTACGCTAAATCACAGCTGCAGTACGCTAAATCACAGCTGCCTCCCCACACTGCTCTTTGGGACACAGCTTCTGAAGCCGGCTACGACAGACTTGCCCTGCAGCATTTGGACAAAGGTAACCATGAGAGTGCAGGGCCATAATCCTGAAGGGGGGGGGGGGGGGGAGATCCGAGGATGGGCTAAATAAACGCGAACACCCCCCTAACACTGAGAGTGGGCTCTGCTCGCTTGTTGCTAGGCAGCATGCACGGATTGCCAGACTGAGACAAAGACGGAGAGAGACACCAGGGGGCAGCGTTTGATTCGGGATGCTTGAGCACGGAGGGGCTTTGCCCTGTGAGTGGGGGCGTCCAATTGGGGCGGGGGGCTTGCTGGTGCCTCTGGGTGCACCTACAGCTGTAATCTTGACAGCATCTCACATAAAATATGTTGGCACCAAAGACCACGTGACCATCAAGAGCACAAAAACAGCTACTGTTACATTTACTTATTTAGAGAGCCTGCCGGTAAATCACTCTGCTGAGCCGGGGATTTGCACTGACAACCTCCCGATCGCAAGCACAACATCCTAACCAGCTGAGCCACACAACATCCACATGAGTCACCGCTCTGAAGCAACATGCTCTCTTAGGTCAGACACACAGGAGAGCCAGTGACTGTAGGCTGTAGGCAGGGCAGGGATCTCCGATCAGGCAGTCAGACGAGCTCAACACAATCACTGGCCTACAGCAGACTGTGGGGGGTTCTGACCCCTTGTAAAACTGCAAACCTCTGATGTCTGTCCAAAGAGAACTCACCTTACGCAGGTTCGCGCCAGTTTTTCCCAGTGGGAGTCTAATCAAACTGAGGATTTGCGTGGCTGCCCTGGGACTGTACCTCTCTCTGATTGAATGACAAGCAGTACAGGCCTCCGGTTACAGACAGGAACTCATAACGTACTGGTGCAGTGGTGAGCATAGTTGCCTCACACCTCTGGCACCAGCGTTTGAGTCTCAGCCATGGCTCCATGTGTGTGGAGTCTGCATGCTCTCTCCGTGTCGTCATGGGGTTTCCTCTAGGTTCTCTGGTTCCCCCCCCCCACAGTACAAAAACATGCTGAGGTTAACTGGAGTTACCAAAATCCCAGTTAATGTGTGGGTTGGTGCCCAGTCCTGGGATATCTTGTGCCTGGAGCTACTGGGATAGGCTCTGTGACCTTGCAAAGGACAACAGTCTGGGAAGTGGATGGAGACCTCAGCGTGCCTTTTTCCCCCAAACAAGAGGGACTGTCGCTCTCCGCGCTAAAAGCAGTCGAACATGCAAACGGCGCCACCTGCTGTTACCTGGGCGATGCGGCTGTGCAGGTCGGCTCTCTCTGCCTCCCAGGCGCACCGGTCCTTGGCGTACAGCACCTGCAGCTCCCTCCTCCGCGCCTCCTCCCGCTTTACCTCCTGCTGAACATCCTCCAGGACCGACTTCAGATCCAGCAGAATCCGTTTGTTCTCCCCTCCCTGATAACAGAGAGCGTCCCAAACTGTTTACTCGGAATCAAACGTCTCTACATATACAATGGCGATAAAATACTATGCATTTCCAACAATAAATCCATGCATTTTTGAGATTTGCCTCTTTTCAACCCATGATGTCATATCAACAGATATGCAAGGTGACTCATCGATACTAAGACTGTCCAAGCATTGTGCTTGTCAATATGACTTTAAACATCACATCCATAAAACCAGAACTGCCCTCAAATGAATCTTCTATGCATCTCCTGCATACAGTATATGGAGTACTTCTGCAAGCCTGGTTTACCAGCTCGGCTCATAAGAACATTGCATTCGGCCCATTAGTCATTCTTGGGGCTATAGTGCAGTTTACTTGTATTTCGGCAACTTGTCTCAAAAGCAGCTCCTTCTCCCTCATCCACTCCTCCTTGTCCTGTTCGTGCTGCTTCTTTAGGTCTTCCAGTTTCTTTCTGAGCTGGGAGTGCTGGGTCTGGAGCTCCAGCCAGGTCACCGGGTCTCTCTCAGCCTTGGCTGTTGCCCCCAGTCGGTCTAAAAGCCCCTCCTGGTCTCCCCTGACCAGCGCCTTAGGCGGACCGCAGCTGCCGTCCCTGCACTTTTCACCCCCCGGCTGGGAGTGCGGCACAAACTCCCAGCCGTGTGCTTTGCCCACATACCCTCCCCCGCCCCTGTGCAACCCAGGCCCGTTCCCAAAAACATTCAACATTTCTCCGCTTGATAAAATACTTCGTGTGGTCTGCACGGGACACTCCACATTTACCCGAAGCCGGTCATTTCTCTGGCCTGTCTGCCTCTCGCTGCTGCCCCTGTTCCGCTGTTCGTCCCAGAGAAACTTCCCACTCCTTCCATGCCACCACGACAGGACAAAGTCAAACTACGAGCTGTCAGAAATGTCCGCCCCAGTCCGGTACGCCTTCCACGTCTAACTCCATCACACCGCCACCCAATGCATAGTTGCGCTTAAGTCAAAAACATTTCAAATTACTGCTATTTTAGCGACCAAAACACCATATTCCCGGACCCCCCGTGGACTTCATTCTGCCTGGACCGAAGACGACACCCAGTAACTAGCCCCCTTCGAGGACACTCGGGTCCAAAAATATATGCAGTGATGTAAGAGACAGGGGTATTTTTACCCCTGTAACTATGCCTCGCATGCCCCCCGCACCACCTTAGACCTCCGACACGCTAACGCACCAAGTCGGCTGAAATAAGCACTGCGCCGCTGCCAAATCATCGCGTCTTTGCGCTGCATAGGAGGCGCCCGGCGCCTGCGACTCGCATGACTCGCCCCCGATCACGGCGATATTTAATTAAGCGCATGTGCTAATTTCTAAAGCAGCTGCCATCCGATAAACACGTCCCGATCAAACAGCATTAACTTACTGCGCCACATCGCGCTGTGAAATCTGCGCCTCCTTACCTGTAGACAGTGAAGTCGAGTCTTCAGTCTTCACGCAATCGAAAATGCTTGTATAAAGGAAATGTGTGCAACAGCTTCTTGGTCTGATAATGCAAAAGCACTACGTCTAGGGAGGACCTCTAGCATAAATAGGCTGGAAGGTGTTTCACTGCCCCCGCTTTCGGTCCCCTCCTGCCCTTACTCCACGCGCCCCGCAGCATCCCACTACATACTGGAGTTACTGGAGCGCCACTCCGAAGCCGCGCTGTCGGCCCGCCCCCGATCGGGACGTAAACACCTCCAGTCCCGGGACGCTCCCGTCACCTCGCCGAGTATATACTCCTGTATACCTCATGGGGATGCTATGGGAGCTGTCGTCACCGACTCGCCGTGAAATTTACGCGGATAGACTGTTTATGGGGATATTTTGGCAACAGGTGTATATGGGACACGACTGACTCCGACGCTCACGCATTCACATCACTTAAGTCCGCAGTCAGATGCGGTATTTCCCCACATGCTCTATACGTAAAAAACTGTATTTGATCGCCGCTCATTCCGGCATTTTGTGTTTCCAGTGAGGCTCCAAAAGCATTTGAAATCCTCCTAGCATTGTTTCTGCAGCAGGAAAAGCCAGTCAATACAATCTAATAGCAGTGTGGAGATATTTTTCGGACAGGCTGGGCTTGCATATGAACCAGGACAGTCCGGTCATCGGTATAACAAACATATACTATCATATATTTTGTATCTTATATATTTAACAATATAATATTATCTAGGAAAAAAAAAAATCTTACCTTTTAGTACGATACCCTCCGCAGTTTAGCAGAATAGCAAGCTTTAAAAAACTGTTAAAATAAAGAGGAAGAAAATGAGAAAGAGCAGAATTAGCGGTTATGTGATTAAATTATAGCCACTCACAGTCACCGGAATTATCACATCCAGGCACCGAATGTGTGAAAACGATGAACATTTCGTTCATTCTTCTCGGGTAGTGAAATACCCACATTAACACGACCGCTTAACAGTGGTGATGCCTTTCAAACACATTGCATGACATAGACTAATGTTTAAGTAAGCACTTAAATAGGATAGCCTGCGCCGATTTCAGACACCGGTGTCTTAGTTTGTTATCCACTTTAATAGTGACAGCAGAATCAAAACGCAGTTCATAAAATCTATAAAGCTATTTTAATTTAGGGCAGAAGATCGTCTCTGACTTTAAAAGTAGCTTCGGTTGTACCCTGAACATCATGTCAGCGGATTGAAATGAAGGTAATTCATAACGGGAATTACAGAGGTCAAACCGCACCGCGTACGGCAGGCACTACCTCATCGCTGGCGAGATCACATCTTGAGCACCTTCCAAACTCCTTCCTAAGTAGGCACGGTGCGCGTCTAAAAAAGGATACGGCAGGACGCTATAACGCACGACAACGCAGACAGCGAGCTTCTGAAACGCAGCATGCGGAGGTCACCGATTTGGGATCGCTCCCCAGCGAGTGGCTGAAGGACAGCCTGCATTCCTGGGTCTGCGTCTGGAAATCTCCCAGCGATTATCCTGTCCGTAACTCGAGAACTGCGCCCATTACTGACCCCCCTCCCCCCCCACCGCCAGGGCTGCCAACTCTCACGCATCTGGCGTGAAACTCACGCTTTCAGACTCTCACGCAAGAAGGCTTACAGCAAATCTATATCATTTCATTGTAAACCTAAAATTAGCTACATCAAAAGCGTCGGGGTAGTTTGCAAACCCTACAAACTATTTACAATGTAATAAAACCTTTACATACATGTAAAACTTGTCTCAAATTGAAAATCGCACGCCAGCCAGCTGACCACAGTCGGCAACCCTGAATACCACCTACACCTGCTGCATGCATAGTCGTGCCCCAACCGGAGCTACATCAGATGTGGCTAAACATCTCAAAGCACTATTAATATGTGCACACAGGGGTTCTTAGAATAACCATAGTTCACCCTGAATCGCTACGTTTCTCACACAGTTTAGCGCTAAAGCAGGAGAAGGCAGGGGTGTGTTTAAGAGTGAGGACTTTTATTTTGAAGGTCCACGGAGGAGCAAACCGGGTGGAAGGCATCCGAGACTCGGCAGCTGTGCGGAGCGGCAGCTAAGAGCCCAGGTGCGCTTACCTTTTAATACGCAGTGAACCAGAGTTGCCTGGTCTTCAGAGCTTGGTGCAAGTATGTAACTGTGGGGTTGCCAGTCGTCCATGCATGAAATAGGAGTTTTCCTGTACTTCGTGTAACCTTGATGATATGATGACAAAAAAAACCAAACGCAAAAGAAACAAAACTAAAGATGTGATAATGGTGACGGGGGCGGGAGGGGGGCGATGCTTACAAGACGAAGAAAAGGGTGAAAAGAAAGACGAGCTTGAAGATGGTGGCGTAGGACAGAGAGGAGAACAACACCAGGATGAGAATGAGTAAAATAATAGGCTGGAACATCTGGGGAGGTGGGGGGGGGGGGGGGGGGGGGGGGGGGGGGGGGGGGGGGGGGGGATTGGGAAAGAGGAAAAGAAGCTGTTTAATTACAAATCCTCCATCTCACACAGTCCCAGTTCTGTGGGCACTTAACATGGAGTCCATTTACCAGTAAGTCAGACAGAATTCCCATCATTACATGTGTGTTTTACTGGAAAATACAGTGCATACCTGTCTCATTGTAAATGTGTAAATACGTCTGTGTGCCTCGCTTTCTGTGTGTGGGCTGATGTACGAACATCTGTTTTTGTGTGTTTCCTGAAGGGGGCTCTGTGTAAATACTGGACTATGGATGTCCGGACTATTTGTCAGGTCCCCACAAAGACCTGAGAATGCAATTAAAAACTAAAAATGCCAAAAGTCTCATATTTTGTTTGGTTACTTGTGGTTAAGGTTAGGGCTGGGTAGGGGTTAGATTAGAGTTTTCCTCATATACATGAATGGAGAGTCCCCACAAACATATAATTACAAACCTGTGTGGTTGTGTGTGTGTGTGACTCTTTGTGTGGGAGCACAGACATGGTCTCTGTATTTGTGTGTACAAGTATGATCTGTGACATGTGTCTTTGTCCATGTGTGTGTAAAATGTAGGTTTTGTGTTTGTAAATACGGGTCTTTATGTTTGCATTTGAAAATGTAGGTCTTTGTGTGTGTGTGTGTGTGTGTGTGTGTCTATAAATGTAGGTCTTTTTTACAGACTAAATGCAGGTATGTGCATGGATGAAAATATAGGTCTTTGCATTTGTGTATAACTGTAGGCCTTTGTGTGCATCAATACATGTGTGTAAGTGTTTGTGAGTGCAAATAGATATATAGACGGCAGATAGATAGATAGATAGATAGATACATACATACATAGATACATACATACATACTGGCGTAGGAGTTGGAGGCAGGGGGGGTGGGGGGTCGTGTGCCCCTCAGCATTTAATTTGGATTCATTCCTCCCCCCCAATAAATTATTAAATTGTGTGTCCCTCAATATCTCCCACATCGTTGGTCACACTCTGAAGGATCAGATAAAATAGATACACACAAACACCACAAATACGTACAGTCAAGCACACGTTCACTATGACACATACCAGCGCGCCACAGCCAAACACACATGTGAATTACAGATACTGACCCTGACTCAGAGTCACACGCATAAAACACAATCGCATAATTTACTGTGATGGGGACACAGACACACACACACGCATGCGCTGACACACCTGACTTACAGACAAAGGTTCCTCCGTGTCCCTGTCCTCGGACTTGGGCACCTCCAGGCGGTCGATAAAGGTCTGCAGCTCCTTCCGGAAAGCCTTCATCTGCGCGTTGATGCGGTAGAGCAGCTCGTGCTCTCGGATGCGGTTGCCGTCGTCCTCGTCGTCCATGCGGCTGAAGAGGTCGCTGTTGGCCACGTAGACGCGCGTCTCGGTGATGATGGTGCTGGTGTCGGCGATGAGTCGGTCGATGGTGCGGCCCAGCCGCTCTGCTTCCATGCGGATGTCGATCATCTGCTGGCGGTCCTTGAAGCCACGGGGCAGGAAGCGGCCCTCGGGGGGGTAGAGGGAGCGAGTGGGGGTCAGGCAGCGCACGCTGCGCACCTCCTCGGAGTCGCTCTCGCCACCGACGGGGCCCTCGCGCTTGCGATGAGGCGGGCGGGAGTCGTCGTCGCTCTCGCGCCTGCCGCCGTCGCTCTCGGCGTCGCTGTCCCGGGGGCTGGCGCGCAGGCCCAGGTGGGACGCCAGGTCGTAACGCTGCATGTTGGACATCAGCACGCGGTTCTCGTACTGCAGCTGCATGACTCGGCCGCTCAGCTCGTTGACGTGCAGCCGCGCCGCCTTCAGCTCCTCCTGCAGCGCCTCTGACTTGGCATCGCTGCCGCTGCCGTGCCGCGTCCCCTCGTGGGAGCCCGCCTTGAACTTGAGCTTGTTCAGCTCACTGGTGACCCTCTTGTTCTGTTCCTCCAGGTCGGCCAGACTGCGCCGCAGCAGTTCCGCCTCATCCTCCACCAGCTGCAGCTGCTGCCGCAGCTCGGACACGCACTCCCCCGACTGGCGGCCCGCCAGCCCGCTGCCGCCGTCTCCGTCCTCGCCACGCAGGTCGTCCAGCTCCGCCTTCAGCCCGCGGTTCTCCACCTCCAGCTCCACAATCTTGCGGCCCAGGATGTTGGCTTCCTCCTCCACCAGTCGCAACCTCAACTTAAGCTCCGCCTCGCGCGTGCTGGGGGGGCCTCCAGCCTCTCCCTTTGGCAGGGGGCTGTCCAGGTCCCCGTAGAAGGAGCGGTACTTCTGCAGCTCGTGCTCCAGACGGTCCTTCTCCTTGTCGATCTTGGCCATCTTCTTTCTCATCAGGGTAGCCTCTTCCTTGATGAAGGCCAGTTGGCACCTCAGGTCCTCGTTATCCTCCTGAATGCAAACACCCAGAACCAAAAAAGAACCCGTTGGTGCCACATTTAGAACCGGGAATGAAAGCACCAGACAGCACTAGACCAAATGCCACAATGGGTCAACTGTGTTTGTGTGTGTGTGGATTATGTTTATTTTGCATTGTGGGGACCAAATGTCCCCTGCAATGTGATAACAATATATTTTGACATTGTGGGGACCATTTTTCAGGTCCTCAAAAAGATCTGTGAATGCAATAAGAAAACTATAAATGCCAAAAGTCTCGTATTCTGTTTGGTTACTCATGGTTAAGGTTAGGGCTGGGTAGGGGTCGTCATGTTGGGATTACTGTTTTCCCAACAGAAATGAATGGAGAGTCCCCACAAAAATATAAGTACAAGCCTGTATATGTGTGTGTGTGTGTATGTGAGTGTGTGTGTGTATGTGTATGTCTGTTTGTGTGTATGTGTGTGAGTGTGTGTATGTGTGTGTATGTGTGAGTGTGTGTGTGTGTGAGTGTATGTGTGTGTGTGTGTGAGTGTATGTGTGTGTGTGTGTGAGTGTATGTGTGAGTGTGTGTGTGTGTGAGTGTGACTGTGAGTGTGCGGCAGGCTCACCTCAGTCGGAGTCTGTGGAGTTCTTTTCTCACCCTTCTGAACATCTTTACTTCCCCTCCGTTTCAATGAAAGCTGAAACAGAACATTTCTAAAATTATTTTGAAATAATGTCTTATTTAGCATTTTAAATATCAAAATAACTCAGTCCTTACTGTTGCAAGCAAATTGACATTCTGTGATTGATTAATTCCTCCACAATACTCTGATTCACAGGTGTATTACGTCAGTCCAAAAAACAGTGACACGTCACTTTCAGATCACATGACTGAAAGTCACCTGACCTCACTGTGCACATCCAAACATGCCAGGACTAACTTTGTGTACATTTCATATAATACTAATGTAAGCCTACACTAACTTTAATATGAAATTACATTAAAAACTGGCCTAATGTCACACCAGCATTTGCAGTAACAGTATGCAGCTCCCTCTTTATTTTCTTTTGTAGAAATTGAAATTTAAAATATTTTGGCACAAAATCAAACACTAACTAGGCCATGGGGGAAGGCTGATCTGTACTAGATCATTTTAGGAGTACAGTAGACTGTGTCACACCCTGCTCGACCGACCCTTCTGTGTGCCACGCCCCCTCGTTAACCTCGTGTGGAATCCCTGTGCGATCAGCTGTTTTGAATTGTTTTCCTGATTCCTGTATATTTCGCTCTGCGTTAGAGTATGTTTCCCTAGTCCTGTCATTAACGTCAGTTTAACGTTGCTGCCAGTCCTCTCCCCGTACTCAGTGTTCCCCGTGCTTCCCTTCCCACCGTGCTCACTGACGTCTTATGACAGACTGCACCATTGTACGAGCTCAGTGGGATTTTTCCTGACATCAGAATAGGACCCACGGTGGGAACATACACTGTAGAAACTATTACAGGGTCTTTGTGAAAAATGGGGTTTGGCACATATCAGCAGGGGGGAACAGAAAGGACTCAGAACCCAATCCCAACCGGGAGGTACGAGACTCTGTGTGACTACCCCTACCGCCATTGCTGTCCACAGGGAAACATGGCGTCACCATTATGAACTACTCTCTCCAACCGGGTCCCATAAAGTACCACGACGCTCCATGGACACCTGTGACTTCCCTTCCGGGGATGTTGGTCCGGTCCAGCTCACCTCCTTGGCTTTATCCAGCTCGATCTGCAGGGCCTGCTTGGTCACCTCCACCTCGATCAGCTGCTGCCTCAGCTTCTCGTTCTCTTCCTCAGTCTTGGTTCGCTTCTCCTCCACGTTCTCCAGCTCATGATGCAGCCTCACAGATACATCCTTTGCCACCTGCAAGCACCAAGATGTGGCAACATATGGGTGAAAAAGCATCCATACTATGATGAGAAGACTCTGATGAATTACAGAAGAGACAAGAGAATTTCTGGTACAGAATCTCCTTCCTCACTTGATATTGTGTCTGCCTGGAACTCTGCTTTTAAGGATGAGACCTTGAACTGCACAGATTCCTTCATCTGCCTCATATACGATGAGACCTGATTAATTCAAGCTCAGACTGCTAGCTTGAGCAGGACAATCAGATCTATCCCAGAATCCTCTGGGGTGCCCAGCAGCAGTGGTGCCAGACATGTTTGTGATAACAGACCTAGCATCGTGACTGCAGCAGATGTTAAGAGGGACACAGAGGTGCACAATGGCAGTGTGCTGGACTGCAGTCACTAGCGGAAAGTCTGGGCTCCTATCATCTTAAGGCAAATCACATCACTATAGGATGATATACATGAAAACATATCCTAGCCTTCACAAACAGGACTCTTCCACAACTTTTCCTCAAACCGGACACACATTTCCTATAGTATAACCATATTAATATTAATTAAATAACAGCATAAATCTTTATTTTGCATGCCCATAGGGCCTATGCACTTCCCAGCAATCCTGAAGATGGTTGTTAGACACACAGATGGATGCTCACACTCGGCCAGTGTGTTTACCCTTACCCCACCCCCTACCCCTCTCCACCACGCCCTTCCCTCATCCCTTCCATTTTAACTACCTTTAGGTCCTGCTCCAGACTCCGGAGAAGCTCTCCATCTACTTCCCCGGTCTGAGCGTACCGCAGCCGCTTCCTCTCCGCCTTGCGCAGGCGGTACTGGAGGATCCGGCAGTTCTTGTTCGCCCGCTCCAGTTCGCGCCGCATGTCCAGCAGCTGGCAGGTGTCCTCATCGTAGAAGGTGTCGCGCATCTCGTCCATCTCTGTGCGCATCTCCTCGATTTCACTCTAATTCGCACCATCGGTAAAGAGACACACCGTTCAGGGAGGACGGCTATTCCCGTTATAAAAGCGGACTGTTGCGCACGGTACGACAGCCATAATACAACGGATATGCAAACAATAAAACACATTTTGCACCGTCATCTTCTCAGCCCAGGCCAGTCGCCATCAAACAATAAAGTATAGCCTTAGTCTATAAATTTGCATTTTTTTTTGCGCATTATATAAGGGCAAAGAAGATGAAAACCTACCCGGAGCTCCTCATTTTCCTCCGCCAGCCGCTCGATCTCGTCCTGCAGACCCTGGACTTGCTGCACCCCCGTCTCCGTGTCGATGGCTTCGGAAGACTGCTCGGGCTCCGTAGCCGGAGCGCTCTGTGTTTTCGTTTGCATCTTTCCTCCCTTTTTCAAGCTCTTGTTGATGTGAAACTGGATCAATTCAGATTGCAAGCATCCCTCCTTCCAGAAACCGGGCCCGCAGCCCACTGAATTCCTGCCGCCCTGCTTGCCGCAGTTGGCCGCCGCCTCGCCTCCTTTCGTGCCTTTCACCTTCCCCTTGAATGTCTTCAGTGAGCTTCCCGGCTGGTCCGACACGACGCGGTGATCGTCCCCTTTCGGGGAAGATACGTCGGTGCACACGCCGTCGGCCGATGCGTCTCCGCTTGCCTCCGCCCTGCTGGCAGGGAGCGTTTCAGCACCACCGGGAGGGACAGCAGCCGCGCCTTTGCCGGGGTGTCTGTCCCTGTTCGCAGCTGTAAACGGGGGTGGGTTGCCGCGGGTACTCTTCGATCCTTGCTTCGTTGCGACGGATTTGGTCGCAGTGGAGGCTTTGGCGGCCGTCCTGCTCGCTCCGTCTCTGAATCTAGCCGGGGAAGACGCCCGGTGCTGCTTCCTGTCGCTGTGGTCCGCCTGTCGGGGGTCCGCAGCGCCGCCGGCGGCGGGGTTCATTCTGTCATCTGCGAGCGCTCAGTACGCGCCAGCCGTCCATCCCCGCATCCCTGGGGCCGGAGAAATCCTGCCGATTAAATCATTTCCGACAGCGGCGATTTCAGGGACCACTGTGCTGCAAACCATGCGTCCGTCTTTTCCATAAAGACCAGGCAATTATCAGAAAAGCAATTTTATTTCTCACTTACAAAACCTTTTTTTGTGACCAATACGACGCTTTGGGTATTCACCCTTTGTTTTAAAATTTCCATTTTGATTTATCTTAAAATAACACGGCTGCATTTAGATTCACTCAATACTGTCCGTAGTGTAAGGATTTGGCACCGGATTCGTGGTTAACGGTGCACAAAGCCGCTATATCGAAGACCTTCACTGTTCGGTTCAAAGGCACACTTCTATCGGCCATTACACTCATTTATGAGTTATGTGAATATGATCCACACATATAGTCACGTCTTCACTAACAGCAGATTTACCTTGAAATGCATGTTACCTAAATTGACCGCATTTATACTAAGGAGTCATTCCCAAAGTGCCAAAACAAATTTCGACGTAAGTAATCATTGTCCCTAAACTCTAAAATAACGCCCCCGCCGCTCCCAAAGCTCACACCATTATCCGGGGGGGCATTTCGGGACACTGGGGTACTTGAAGTGTGTCCTTTATTGTGTAGTGAAAGAACAGGAAGCCGGATGTCTCACGACGGGGACCCGGACAGCTCAGTGACTTTGTGACCGTGCAGTGACTCTGTCCCCGAAACGGGCGAGGCGAGTGTCCGGCGCCTCGCTCGCAGTCCCCGCTACACAGCAACTGAAAGGAGGCGGCTGAGTCCTGCCAGGCGCTCCTGCAAGGGGACGGAGGCTGTACCGGCTCTGCATGCTGGTTAAGAAAGTCCAATTAAAACCTAAAGTGCAACCCCAATGGCGGGACCTGTGAATGGCGTCCCCCCATCCCACACCAAGGTTCCTTATGGTCATGTGACTCCAGTCAACCCCTTGTTAGCAGACTCTACTCGGGAAGAAAACCGACCCAGCGGGATTTAACCAACCTTTATTACTTTTGTTGCATTTTTGCACGAAAAGTTATTAAACCTTAAATGAGTAGCAGCGCATAATACTAGTAACAATCCCTTTTGAACCAGTTCAAGCATCGAAAGTATCGATAAAAACAGCCGCGTGGATGAAGTTAAAATAACTGCATATTTAGGTTTAAAATATTACTTACTGAAAGGAAACGGCAGTTTGATTTCAGCGGAGGAGGGAGCTTGAAAGATGCTGACACTAATGTACCAGGCACTGCAAGACCACCAGCGAAATACTGGCTTCAATATTCATGATGTGACGTCAGCATAAGGAGGGGCGGTAGCTGGGACGTGAAGCCGACGGTCCGCCGGGCGGAAGCAGATAGTGCGCCCGCGTACAATGTGCCTTTGTTCGCAAAATCAGTTCATCCCACTACGTGTCCTGTGTTATATTTACGTGCTGCTTGGCTCGGGGCACAAGACAGAGCGTGTCTCTCTGTCAAGAGGAACAGTTTTAGCTGTGCATGCATTTGCGGTAGATGGCAGCGTTGTAGCCTTCAAAAACATGAGAGACAAATACCACATCGGAGTATTTAACCCAGCCAATGAAAGCTGGAGCCCCGCCCTGCCGTCACCATGGCAACATACACCCCCAGCCACCCCCACATCTACCACAGCAACACCAAGACAGCAGACTCCAGGGACCATCAGTCTTAGGTTACCTATCCCAACCAAAGCCTTTTATAAAACTGAAATAGCACAGCTTTGCTTGAATGGTAAATCAGTAAGACAAAATTCCACAGCACCAGTAGCCCAAACTACCTGCATGAATTCTAACAGGAATACTGTGGATCAAAACCACAGCGAAAAAAATCCATGACTATAAAGTTGGTTTGATGTCTGTCGTGTTAGTCACGTGACCTTTCATGGGGGAGGAAGAGATTAATCAGTCAGGGTATCTCATCTGCTGGCTACACTGCAGCCTCATCGTTCTTGGTTTCTAGCTGGTTGCTAAGAGAGGCATAGTGTTTTTCCTCCAATCAGCACTCAGCTGTTTTGCATGATGCCACGTGATTTGCTCATTAAAAGAAGGAAACCCAGAAGTGAATTAAACATGTTCCCATGTGTACGGCTTGTGTCAAGGGTTAAGGGGTTTATCAAGGTGTACCCAGAGTCTAGAATATAATAGTAAGCCATTTCGTATAGGTTGCACAATGCGCTCAACAATCCCACAGGCTGGGAACTACAACTTCCATGAACCTATCTGTGACCTTCCTGTATGAGCACCGCCTACTTTCTTGTCTGAGCCTGTAGAATGCAAGCGTGTAGCACAGACAGGTAAGCAGCTGCTCCTGTCTGTGTAGGTTTCCTTGTGAAAAGAAGCCAATTAGCCATGCAGAAAGATGCATACATCTGAACAGTTTAATCATATTCACTGTGATCGGAGCGTGTTCCAAATGGTTTTGCTTTTTGTATGTGACATAATGGGCGTTTTCTCATCTTGGCTGTGTCCGAAATCATGGGCTATGTAGCCTTTGCAGGCTGCGTCCGTCGAAGGTTCACATAATGAGTCTTGGGATCCCTGCAGACGATTTACACATTTCTAGGCTGTATTTGAAGGAGCCTTTGAAGGGTGGCCTTGTCACTCTGGCGTATTCGGTCTTCAAACGCAGCCTAAGAAGGACACAGAACCTGAATTTGGACACAGCCCATGTCTTCAAGTATGAGGTATAAAGAAAATTCCTAGTGTGGGGCGGGGGTACAATCCTGGGAACCATTAGATCTTTAATAGCATCAAGGACTCATGGGACAGTTCAGACTGGTCATATCCAGGATGAGTGTGGGGGGTTGTTTAGCTAAGCCTGTTCTGGAGGCGGGGGCTGGGGGATATTTCAGTGTAATGGCAAACAAGCATTCGTGCACGCAGCGGGGGAACATAAATCTTAGGTAACGTCTCTGTGTTGTGCAGGGAGCAGCGCCCCGGTGAGACTGAGCCCTTTCCCTCTCGTGGAGTCCGGTCACCAGTGTCATTTTGCAGGACTCGGGTCCTGTCACTGAATGTCTGTCACTCTATCATGCCCCCCCCCCCCAGCCTAGCACACATGGTAACCTGAGAGGCAGAGGTGTGTTTCTGGCTCATTCTTATGCTGGGGGGATTTTTTTTATCAGTGTTACACTGAGGCGATTGATGCTTCGGGGGAGCAAATACAGGACTCCCCCCCCCCAAGTCCCAAACAGAATTTTTCTGAAGGGGGGCACAAAAAAGTTTGCAGATGGCTTGTACGAAATGTATACATTTTATATTTTTGGGGGATGGATACAAAAGACAGGAGGGCTGCAGCCCCCCTAAATAGGGTCTGGAACCGCCTGGACACCACACGCCGTCCTTATTACGCCCCCGTCTTCAGACTTGGGCTCAAGGACGGCCTGGTCTTTCTGGAGTCAGACTCCAGCTGTCTGTGGCATGGCAGGAGGGGGGGGGGGATTCCAGGGGAAGGGCAGGTCACATGACTGGGGGCCTGGAGGCTGGGAGTGCGGGGAATTGATTGACAGGAATCTCTGCATCACAGCTGCGAAACCCGAGGCAGCAGATGCCGTCGGCCTCATTATGAGAGTGCCGACAACCATTAATTTCTCCATTATGTAAGGGAATATGCCCTGCAGAGCAGGAGGTCAGGGCTGTGCTCCCGAGCCGGGGGCCTGAAGTTTGCAGGACAGACAGAAACTAATTTTGCATCTATAGGCACTGGGGTGTGATTAGCCTGAGAGGGGGGGGGGGGCTTATATAAATGTGAGCCATGTGGCTGTAAGGGTTCCGAGGACAAACAGTGTGATAGGAGACAAAGCCATTGTATCTAGATGATGTACGGAAAACGTGTTTGCTGGTTTAAGCCGATAAACTCTGGTGTGGTCATGTATATATTACATTGTGGGGACCAAATGCAGGGACCATGTTTTCTGTTCCCACAAACTCAATTTTTTAAAAGTCTGTGACTGCAATCAAAAAACTAAAAACTGTATTTTGTTTGGTTACTTATGGTTAAGATTAGGGCTGAGTAGGGGTTAAGGTTGTCATAGTTAGGATTAGGGTTATGCCCATAGAAATGAATTGAGAGTCCCCACAATGATATAGATACCTGCTCTGTTTATGTGTGAATGTGTGTGTGTGTGTGTGTGTGTCCCTTCCAGGGTGCCGTCCTTCCTTATGTTCTAAGCTTCCTGGGATTAGCCCTGGATGACTGAACCCAAACTGCACAAGCCCTGAATGAAAAAGGATGGCTGTTGTTTCCCATTTGAGTAAAATCAAGGTGTGCTTTCTCATGCTGATGTCATCAGTTTCATCATGAGCCGTGACTGCGTTGCACCAGGGTGTGACATATCACAAGCCAATCCTACAGGGCCTCTATACTGCCGTAATACTACTAGGAGAGATTCTGCTCTTTCTGCACGTGTTGTTCCAGTTTAATCCTCCTTGTCCTGGCGACACAGCGGATTGCCGGTGACTTACAGTACGTGCGTTACGTGTGACTACAGGAGTATCCAGGGCTGTGGTGACTCTCTCTCATGGGTCTCAGGATGTCCTTTCTGACAGGGTATCTAACCTCTGAAAGACATACAACCACACATCATGTTCCCATTGCCATCATAGAGCCCTTAATTTAGGTAAATTAAGAGTAATTAGGATAATTAAAGTGACTCAGAGTCCCTAAATAGATCAAATAGTTCCTATGTCTGTCTATCAGATTCAAATTCAGTTGAGTGAAATGGATTTACCAGCATGAAGATAGAAACCTCATGTGACCAGGGCACAAACTGACCAGGAAAGTATGTTTACGGCATTTCCTTCAGAGCACGTCTTTTTTTTTTATGTCTTTTTTCCTCCTTATCCTAAAACAGCAACCCTCCGTCTCCCCTTGCCTGGAACAAAACAAGAGGCCTTTTAATGTCCAAATTTATGTGCACATGTTTTTTTAAGATGTACTCGGTTGCGAAGGACAGCCATGTGGGAAATGGCTATGCAGGGTGAAGAGATTTCATCAGAGGGGAGACATTGCCCAGCTCTGTGTACCGATACCATGGAAACCTTTGTTTCTACAGCTCTGCTCTCCGAGAGGGTGGGGGGCTAGGGGCTCCCTCGTTGTCATCAGCCGATTTGGTCGTCAGCAAAGGAGCAGGAAATGTGAAAACAGCACCCTCTGCTGGTGAAACAGTAGGACAGACGCCGCCATCTGGTCATCCGTGGTCAATCAGCCAGAAGGCAGTGTGAGACGATGTGAGGGAGCTGTTTATAGCAGTGTTTTTCAATCCAGTTCCTTGGGGACCCCCAGTGGTCCATGTTTTAGCTCCCTCCCAGCTCCCTATCAGACCATCAGAAGATCCCCGATGACAAGGTTGAGAAACATTGGGTTATAGCAAATATAGCTGGAATATGGTGTGTGTGTGTGTGTGTGTGTGTAAGTGTGTGTATGAGTGGATTAGGTTTATATTACATTGCGGGGGACCAAATGTGTTATTTTGACATTGTGGTGAACATTTTTCAGGTCCCCACAAAGATCTGTGATTGCAATCAAAAAACTAAAAATGCCAAAAGTCTCATATTTTGTTTGGTTACTTACGGTTAATGTTAGGTCCGGGTAGGGGTTAAGGTCATGTTGGGATTAGAGTTTTCCCCATAGAAATTAATGGAGAGTCCCCATAAATATATAATTACAAGCCTGTATGTGGGCGTGTGTGTGGGTCGTACTAAAGAGATCAGTTGCATTATGGGATGCTTGCAACAATTCAGTTTGCCAAATTACTGCCCTGTTAGACCAGCCCCAGTTTACAGTGAATGGTTACTGTAAAGTGGAAACATCTAAGAGCAACCATAAAGAGGGGGGCATAAAGGGGGGGGGGGGGGCACACACATGCCGACACACCGGGACCTCGGAGTGCTGAAGCATGTGGTACATAAAAATGGCAACAGAGTTTGAACCTGCCTCAGTAAACAATGTCAGCATGAGAACGTGATAGTTTCCATGATCAAGTTGTCATGCGCAACACCACGCATCAACTCAGCTGTTGCCATCGGACTGGAGCAGGAGAAGTGTGTTGTAGGGGTGGGACAATTCACACTTCACACACTGGGCGTCTCATGCTCAAAGCTGGGTCTGATGGACTACCTGCCTCCATGAGAGCACAGTCCCTTAGTTCCAATGAAGGGTAATCTTAATTCATCAGCATACAAAGACATTTTAAACAACTGTGTGCTTCCAACTTTGTGGCAACACTTTGAGGAAGG